CAAGCTGAAGAGTTGAAAAGGAACAGAGACTTGCCATTTCAGTAAGAGCTCCGTGAATTGAGTGGCATAACTTGCTACCGTGGCCTTTGTTGTGATTTCTTGTTGAGAGTACTGGCTTAAGGATGCTGCATTTTCCTTTAGAGAGAAGTTGCTGACTCATATGCCCAGAATGCCAAAGTGATTGAAAAACAGCTGGAGCGTAAAGGCATGAGCAAGAGAAGACTGCAAGAGCTGGTGAGTGGCACGGGTAGCCATGCCGGGCTATACTGTTTGCATTTCCTGTTCTGGACAACCGTCCAGCAGGCAAAGCCTTAAGAAGTCTGTTGGGGATGGGATCCAGCAGCAGGACCTTGGCTGTAAGTGAAAACATTTGTTAAATAGCCCTTGCCTCTAATCCCAACTCTTCAGAGGTTGAGGCAGGAGAATTGCTACAAGTTTTGGGCCAGCCTGGGCTATCTAGTGAGTTCAAGGCGAGCCTGAACTACATAGCAAAACCCTGTCTCAAAAACTAAATATAAAGGCCAGGGAGATGAATATTCAGTAGAATAAGTGCTTACCTGGCAAGAGCAAGGGCCAGAGTTCAATCCCCAGTTCCGAAAAAAAGAAAAAAACCAACCCTAAATGTGATAAAATCCCCTACTGAAAATAATACTTTAATCTTCTATTTGTGGGGAGTTAAAAATGAAGATGGGGAGGTAAAGGTCAGTTTCAGGGTGTTCTCCCAGGATGGCATAGTGCACAGTAGTGTTAATTGGTGCTGCTTGAGTTGGGGCTGGTCATTGCCTCTTAAAGGTCATCATTTCTTAAAGTACTGATAGTGCTGTGTTATTTATAGGCTCATTTTAGAGCATATTCCTTCTGTTTATTATGGTGACTTCATTTTGGGGCTTTTTATTATTTATTTAAAACATTTCATTCAATTCAGATGTTGATGCCTCTTCTAATAACTAGTGGATTTTTAGTGATAACAGTGTTGGGTCCTGCTTGCTGTTTCTTACCTTGCCATACCTGAGATCGGTGTTTCTCAAGTTTTCTAAGATGAAAGATCAGTTCTTTCTTTTTCTTTAATTCTTTATGTTGTAATTTGTGTATTTGGAAACTATAAATAATGAATTGGGGCCAGGGAGATGGCTCAGTGGAATAAGTGCTTCCCTGGCAAGCATAAGGGTCTGAGCTCGATCCCTGGTTCCACCAAAAAAAAAAATGAATTGGCCTATCTGTTCTGTTTTTTAAATTCTGGAAATTGAACCAGGGGCGTGTACCTGCTAGGGAGGTACTCTGCCATTGAGCTACATCTCTGTCTTTTTAAAATTTTGATTTAATTTTTATTTCACTAGGAATTGAATATAGGCATGCTCTATCACTGAGTTGTATCTCCCACCCATTTATAAATTATTAATCTTGAGACAGTGTCGCCCTAAGTTGTCCAGGCTGGCCCAGAGTGATCTTCCTGCCTCAGCTTCCCGTGTAGCTTGGTTTATTGGCATGAACTACCAGGCCCCTGTTTTCAATTTGTGTTATTTTCCTTTATTATTACTCTGCCCATTTTTTCAATTTTGGGACATATGTTGCATGGACTGATAATAATTCACAGAGCACAGAATTTTGAGCAGCGCTGTTCTGGAATGTATTTTTCCTATTCTTCCGAGAAGAGGGTAGTGGTCTGCCATAATACTGCCTTCCTCAGCCCTTTGGCATTGCTAGAGCTCCAGGTTCCATGCATTCAATTGTTTGGGCCACAGCCTTGTATACTTACCTATGAATATATTTGACCTATAAATATTATTTTCTTTGTATATTATAACATCAGAAAAGTTGGAGAGCAGTTGCTAGAGATGCATAAGGATATTAGAACAGCTTGTAGCTTGTACACTACATGAACATTAGGGGAGAATGCTTGGGGTAGTTGGAATAAGGAAGGAAACATAAGAATTTCACTTGATGTATCCGGGCATGTGCCTTTTTTTCTTTTTCAGGCTGAACTGGAAGCCAAGAAAGCAAAAATGAAAGGAACTTTGATTGACAACCAGTTCAAATGACAGGACTCGGCTCTGAGCCCGAAACAGAGGCAAGCATTTAGATATGGAGGAAAAATCCTTTCTTGCTGATGTGAACTGGTTTCTATTCATGCCCCAGAAGAAAGCTCTGTGTTGCCTCCCATTGAGTCTCCTACATTAAGTCTTTGAGTCCATTTGACCTGCTCTCTATGAAATAGATTGTTCTATATTTTTCTGTGTATAAATTTTCTGAGAATTTTTTGTCCATGTGATGGAAACTTCTTCAGCTGTGTGGCAACTGAATCGATCAATGCTTGAGTATCTCCAGTTTCTAAAATGGCTGTTATTATGGCTTTTTTTTTCATGTCAGATGAGTAATGTGCCTACGTTGTAACATGGTTTGAGGGAGGCACAGCTCATGCATTATAAGACATGAATACCCAATCATCACACTCATGAACTGAAGGATCACTGTTATTATTCTTTCTTTGAACTTAGCAACATTTCAATTTCAATATTATGGAATCTTATAGAGAAAAATGGCATGAATTATATTTGAAATAACAAGTAAAATTCTTTGAAGTGACTCTCTGGTCTTAGAATGGTTCTTAGAATTTTCTGTAGTTTGAATCTTTCTACTGTCAGCAGAGATCCATTAAAGGGAAAATCTGCTTAAAGCTTCCTTTACTTCAAATATTAGAGATGTAGACGAGCCAGGCCATATCAGACTTTGTACCTGTATCAGGGAAACCCAAAGAGCTTGAGGTGTATGTGGTGGCAGAGTGGGTGCTAGGTATGCGTGGGGCTGTGGTTTCCATCCCCAGCACCATGAAAGAAAGAAGACAAAAGCCAGATTGTAGTGAGTGGGTAGAATGTAGCTCAGATTTGAATTAGTAAGTAGCCCAAACGAGCTGCTATCTAATCTGTAGCTAGAAGTGCTGCTTCTCTGAGAGGGGGAAGATATTGTAGAGACTGAGATAATGGAAATGGTCTGTTAAGCAACTTTTATTTTACACTTGTCATTTGCAGAGGAGTGTTATATGTGTGTTAGTTAATGTCATATACTGCCTTAGTGCCACCAACTCACACGGTTGGATCTGGGTTTTGTCTGTTCACCAGTATTGCAAGGCGTGGGACAGGAAGTGTGGTAGCTGTCTCGTGTTATCCACAATAGATTCTGCTTAGGAAGCACCACGCTTTGCTGGTAATGTGCTACTGGGAAGTAGTAGAGCCGTTTGCTTTGCTTTGTGTCTGGTTTCCTTGTTTGCAGGGAAAAAGTAGGTTAGATATAAGAGATAGAAGCTGGCAAGACCTGCGGAGGGGTCCTGGGAAGGTCCGGCGTGGGGCTGTGCTACCAACTGCCCCAGTTGTTCTCCTGTGTTCTGGGAGGTTTTGCAACTGAGCCTTCCCCTTCCCCTCATTCTGAGAGAATTAACCATTCTGCAGGTGAACAACTGTGACCTCTTCAGTTTCTCAGCCTCAGCTTGAAACAGTGACCTCTACTTTTATTCCAATGCAGCTGTGATCTCTCAGTACAGCCTGAATATCTACAGCACCTCTGAAATCTAGTATTCTGATCTCAGTCTCCTTTCATATCATATGCTCTCTGCAAATCTGTTTTGTTTTTGTTTTTGGCGGGGGACTTTTATTAGTAGTAATGAAGAAAAATAGTAAAGGTAATAGCACCAGTAATGCAAGCTCTTCTTTATTGAGTACTTACCATGTATCAGGTACTGTGGAAAACACTTTATAGGGCTTATCTTACTCTGAACAATAGTCTTATGAGATAGGTCTAAATGCTACTATTCCCATTTTACAAATGAGTACTCTGAGCGTCCAAGTGTTTAAGTTTCCAAAGATCCCATAGTTGGTAAGTGCTACAGCCAAGTCCGACTTTGGAGTTCTTGCTGCCCTCTGCTGTGTGCCACTTTGCCTTGGAGCCAGCTGAGGATGGACTGAAAATTCCTCTTACTATGGGCAAAATAAGCCTTTCCTTCCTTAAAAAAAAAAGGTGGGGCCGGGGAGATGGCTCAGTAGAATAAGCACTTCCCTGGCAAGCGCAAGGGTCTGAGTTCAATTCCCGGTTCCACAAAAAAAAAGAGAAAAAAGAAAGAGAGAGAGACAGAGACAGAGAGAGACAGACAGACAGAAAGAGACAGAGACAGAGAGAGACAAACAGAGAGAGAAAAGAACTGGAGCACTTAACTACTATGCTGAATTATTTCTGTGTGGAATTTTATTCTATTTTATTTTATTTATTTATTTTTGTGGTACCAGGGATTGAACTCAGGCCCTTGCCCTTGCAAGGCAAGCACTTATTCTACTGAGCTATCTCCCCGGCCCTCTGTGTGGAATTTTAAATAAATAAATATATTTATATATCTCAAATATATACATATATGTGTGTGTGTATATTTTATGTATATATTTGAGATCAGGATATATGAGCAGTGTAAAGACAGGTACAAGGGCCGGCCAGATAGCTCAGCAGACTGAGTGCTTGCTTAGGTAAGTGCAGGGACCAGGGTTTGATCCCTAGCACCACATGCTGCACCGGCCCCACCCCTGGGCATGCTGAGCTGGCAGTGGAGTCTGGGCATGGTGGCACATGCCTATAATCCCAGCTCTAGGGAGGCAGAAGTCAGGAGGATCACTATGAGTCCAAGCTGCATAGTGAGACCCTGCACAAAAAAAAGACAAGTGCATAGAGAATGCCTTATAGAAAATCTGTGATTATGTTTCTAGATATTTTCTGAAGTATTTGTTCTTTGATACTGATCTTAAATCACTTCAACATCTTGTTCAAGTTACTTTTGCTCCATTTATGAGATTGTGAAATGTACCCTGAGCACCAAGCAAGCATATGCTCTTTATCATGTTTGACTCTTTTCATGTTGAAATAGTTACTAAAATAGTAACTATATTCAGTTATTTTCTGTATTTTCTTTGTTAACTGCTAGTATTTTTACAGTGCTTCCATGTTGGTATAGAGTCATATTGAGGGCTGGGGAGATAGCTCTAAAATAAGCGCTTACCTGGCAAGCGCAGGGTCCTGAATTCAATCCCTGGTACCGGAGGGGGAGGAAAAAAAGTCATATTGAAATTTTCAATACTCTTATTCTGTTTTTATTATTTATTTTTGAGACAGGGTCTCACTATGTAGCACAAGCCTATGTAGTACAAGACAATAAAGAACTAATTGCTAGGGGGTTTTTTTGGCGGAAGCGGGAATTGAACTCAGGCCCTTGCGCTTGCCAGGCAAGTGCTTATTCTACTGAGCCATCTCCCTGGCCCCTAATTGCTGGTTTTTGCCAGAAATAGTATTTTAGGATCTAAGTCCACTTTGTAGTAGATGATTGTTTGGGGATTTGGGATGGAAGTCCCCCAGAGAGTCACTCTGCTAGTTGCAGGTGTGGACTCTCCCTGCATCACCATGCCTGGGTATTATTTTTCTTTCTTTTCTTTTTTCTTTTTCTTTTTTTTTTCAAATCATCAACTGTGACAAAATATTAAGATAGGAAATATTCTTGGTGATGTATCAAGGAATACTTCATTGTTTAAGGGAAAGTCAAAAAGCTTTTTGTTGTCTCGTTGTACATGGTACAGTACATACGCCTGTGGTCCTAATACTTATGAGGATTGCTTGAGTCCAGGACAGTAATGGCAAACCTTTTAGAGCTTTCAGTTAATCAAATAGCCTGCTGTGACACGCATGTTATAGGTTTCCCACCACTGGTCTAGGAGTTTGAAATGTCTGTCTCAAAAAGTAAGCTTGTCTTAGCCCTTGAACAGCCCTCCTCTTTTCCCCTAAACTCTGGTAACTACCATTCTGTTTTCTGTTTCTGTGGATTTGACTACTTCATAAGTGAAACCACCTAGCAAAAATCCTCAGTCTTTATCCATGTTGTAGTATGTGACAAGTTTTCCTTCCTTTTGGAAGGTGAGAATATTCCATTGTATGTACTGCATTGTATTCACGAATCAATGAACATTTGGTTGCTTCCCCCTCTTAGCTGTTGTGGTTATTGTTGTATTGAATATGGGTGCTTTAGTTATCACTTGGAGATTCTGATTTCAATTATTTTAGGTATGTACTCACAGGTAGGATTGCAGACAGCCCTGTTTCTTTTTTCTTTTTTTTAGATTTCCTAGTGTTTTCCACAGCAGTTGTACCATTTTTTTTTTGGCAGAACTGGGGATTGAACTCAGGTCCTTGGGCTTGCCAGGCAAGTGCTTATTCCACTGAGCCATCTCCCCAGCCCCCTAGTTGTACCATTTTATAATCTTACCAAAAATGAAAAAGGGTTCCCGTTGCTCCCCAGCCTCATTAATACTTGTTGATTTCAACCCTTTTGATGGGTCTAAGGTGCTCTTATGTTTTGATGGGCATTTCTGTAATAGTGCTGTTGAGAATCTTCATAGGCTCATTAGCGATTTGTGGGTCATCTTTAGAGAAATGTCTGTTCAAGGCCTTTGCCCATTTTAATTTTCTTCTTTATGTCATTCTTCTTGTCACTAGGACACAGTGCCAGCACCCACAGTTGAAAGGGGAGATTTATTTTGGCTCACACTTTGTCGAGGTTGCAGTACATCATTGGCTGGCTCCAAGGCAGAGTAGCAGCATGACAGCAAAGAGGCAGCCATAGTGTGGTAGGAAGCAGAGCAGGGATCAGCAGGCTTTGCCTCCCAACCTCACAGGTCCCCATGGTGTCCCTGTGATCCAGGCACCTCCAAAGCACCCCACCTGTGAGCCTTCCCAGATGCAAACCGTAACCACTTCCTTGATTTTTTGTTATCATGCACATTTTATATGTTAATTTTCCATCTATCTTCTTTGGTATAGTGTCTCTAGAGGTCTGCCACCCATTTTTCTCCCTCCCTCCCATCCTCTCTTTCTCTTTTTTTTTGGCAGAACTGGGGATTGAACTCAGGTCCTTGCACTTGCCAGGCAAGTGCTTATTCCACTGAGCTATCTCCCTAGCCCCTCTTTCTCTTTTTGAAATTTGTATTTATGTGGTACAGGGTCTCACTATGTAGCTCAGACTCCTAGTGATCCTCCTGTCTCAGCCTCCCCAGTGCTGGGTTTAAGGTGTGCGCTGCCACACCCTGTTTTGGGGCAGCACAGCAAGCTGTACCAGGGATCTCACTCGGGTCTTTGCCCAGGTAGGTGCTTAGACCACTGGGCTACTCCCCAGCGCTCCTCTCTCTTTTGAGATAGGATCCCCCTATATACAGAGTCCCCCAAAAAAGATACACACTACAGGAAGAGAGAAATGTATAAATATTGTAATACTAAATTTATCAAGACAGCATGAGATGGGTTGCTGAGATGGCTCAGTGGTCTAAAGCACCTACTTAGAACAAGCTTAAGCAAAGCACAGAGACCGCGGTTCAATCCCCCAGCACCACATGCCAGCCAGCCCCGCCCCCTGGTGGGCTGAGCTGGCCACACACACACACACAAATAAATAAATTTTTTAAAAAAAGACAGCATGAGAGTAATACAAGTTCCTTTTGGCCTCTACAGTTACAAGAAATACTCAAACTGGTGGCCATCAGATTCCAGACATTTATTAGTGTGGCAGACAGTTGCTTGGTTGGCCTTGGTCATTGAGATTGCTGCACATTTTCAATTCTCTAAGGTATAGTGGGGTTTTCTGCAATACGCAGCAGCCTCTAGGGTCTCCCCTGTGAAGGTAACACTATCTATTGAAAAAAATTCTACTTTTTTCCCCTCAAATGTGTATACATTTTTTTGGTAGACTATGTAGTTCAGGCTGGCCTTGAAGTTAGAGCAGTCTTCCTGCCTCAGCCTCCCAAATGCTGGGATTATAGGTGTATGCCATGACACCTGGCTTTTTCATTCATTTTTAAAAACTGAGTCTATTATTGAGTGTTAAGGTTTGTTTTTTTGTTTTGTTTTGTTTTTTACTGTACCAGGGATTGAACTCAGGACCCTGCACTTGCCAAGCAAGCACTTATTCTATTGAGCTGTTTCCCCGCCCTGTGTTAAGGGTTCTTGATGTTTACTGTTATCAGTCCTTTACCAGATAAGTGATTTAGAACATGACCCTGGGTGCAGTTTGTCTTCATTCTCTTAAATGACAGTGGCTCTCCTGGGTGTGGTGGCATGCCTGTAACTGCAGTGCTGGAGGGCTGAAAAGAGGAGGATCACTATGAATCCAAGCTGTGTGGTGACACCCTGTAACAACCATATACATTTTTTAAAAAGTACAGTGACTTTCCATACCCAAGATCGTGAAGATTTTTCTTCTATAAGTCTTATATCTTACATTTAGGTCTATAATTCAAGTTATTTTTGTATAATGTATGAGGTGTTTGTCAGTTTTTTTGCTTACAGATGTCCAGTTGTTACAATAGCATTACTTAAAAAGACTTGTTCTCTGTTTACTTCTTTTATACCTTTGCCAAAAATCCCTCCATCCTACTGGGCTCTGTGGCATAGGCCTGTAATCTCAGTACTTTGGGAGACTGAGGCAAGAGGTTCACAAGTTTGATTTCTACCTGGACAACTAAACAAGACTCAAAAAATAAGTGCTGAAGGTATAGCTCAGTGCAAAGATCCTGGGATCAATCTCTACTACTGAAAAAAAAATTCTTTTTATTATAATTTTGTATTTTCTATTCCATCTATTGCCTGTTCTTTCACCAATATGCTATGTCTGTTTTTTCATGGAGCTGGAGCTCAAACCCAGGGCCTCGCACATGCTAACCATGTGCTCTACCCCTGAGCTACATCCTTTGAGTCCTTTTTATATTTTTGTGTTAGGAGAGGGAGTCTTGTTATATTGCCGAGCCTGGCCTCAAACTCGTAGACTCAAGTGAGTAGCTAGTGTACCCCCCATGCTAAGCTACTAGATAGTGTCTTATTTGATTATTATAGCTTTATAATTAACATTTTGGGGGCCGGGGAGATGGCTCAATAGAATAAGTACTTCCCTGA